TTTTCTCAACGAAACGTTTCAAGTTTCGAATTTCCAAAAGTTTGAACCTTGAATTCAATTCTTCGAGGATTTGAAAATACACCTTGAATGTTTAATTTTAATAGACGATGATAGCCTACAAATTATTATTCGTCGATAATCGTGCCGGAGAAGAAAGTTTCCGCCGATTTTCATTATCGGGGATTGTTGCGAGTCTTTCCCGAAAGTTGCTCGAGGTGATCGTGCCTTCTTTTCATCGACGAAACGTTCTCACATCGGCTGTTATTATAAGAAAAGCGTATAGTTCCGCGATGGTGAAACGCTGGCCGTCGTTTCAGAGTTACCTAGGAAATTATTCCGACTGCGAGGGAGCATTGGCTCTGCGCGAGTGATTAAGATCGGCGGAAACTCGTCGCGGCCGATCGCTTGGAAAGTCCTTTTCACGCGGTGTGTGAAAATACGTGCCACGTTATTACGCTCGTGCCGCGTGCACAGCAACGTTCGATCATTATTAGGGAAATTAGTTTCATTGTGCGCAGGTGCTAACTGTCAGTTCTTGACAACTGTGAAATGCCACCGGTTCGTCGCCGGTTTTAGAAAGTCTCGCCACGGAGATGAAGAGAGAGAGAGAGAGAGAAAGAGAGAGGGCAGAGCCTATCGATTCGACGGGAAAAATCTTTCATCGAAGAGTAGAACAATAATGACTTTGTGGATTGAACTATCAACCACCTCGCGGGCGAATTCATCAAGATCAACGGAACGTTATTACTTCTCCGACAGAATTGATCGTTCTTTTCTAAATTGTTACTTTTGTTTTTTTTCTTATTTTTTTTTTTTTTTTTCTAGAACCACCGACGACTGAAGCATAAAATTTCAAACATCAAAGACATTAAAAAACTGAAAAAAGTGAAGAAATTGGAAATATCTCTAAAACTGTTTCGTATTTATAGAATTTCTAACAAAAACCATAAATTGATCATTTTGACTACTTTGTACATAGTTTCAGTGTTAAAGCGTTAAGAAAATGCAGAACAGCTTCGGAGAAACGCGTTTACCGTTTGCTTGATTAATTCCTCCTCGAAACTTGATTGTTAATTAACAGACTCGCTGATTGAACTTCGCATAAAAGAAGGTCACATTGTATGATCTCGATCATATAAATCATCGAAACGTTCCACATTGTCTGACCCGAATCGCACGATTAAAATTCATCAATTACCATTCTCGTGTACTCGGTTTCTCATGATCGTATTGTTGCGAGCTCTAAGAAATTTTATAATAAATATACTAATTATTTTACCCTTTAATATAATTATTCAAAATGTATTGTTAATTCAATATCAATTAATCAAGCTTATGTATACTCAGTTTTACTTTCACTGTATCTAAAAGAGTCAATTTAAACAAAATAAAAAAAAAAAATTTTCTATATTTTGTAGTTAAAAACTACAAATTATCATCTAATTTAATGAATTTATTAATTAGAATTATTTTATGAATCAACCTGAGAAGAGTAGTTTTAGTATACTCAATAATTTCAAATTTAATTTTAATTACAATTTCATGAAATCGAGATATTATTCGTGAAAGAACATTTATAGGTAATCACACATTTATTTTAAAAATTATAATTAAGTTTAGAATAATTATATTTACTATTTCTGAATTATTTTTTTTTTTTATTTCTTTCTTCTGAACTTTTTTCCATCGATCTACTTGCCCTTCAGTTGAAATTAATATAATGTGACAACCAAAAATAATTAAAGTATTTATTATATAAATAATTAAAGTACTAAAGTATTAAAGTATAAAGTATAAAGTATTTATTATATAAATAATTTAACAAGTATAAAGTATTAAAGTAGTAAAGTATAAAGTATTTATTATATAAATAATTAAAGTATAAAATATAAAGTAGCAAAAGTAGTAAAGTATAAAGTATTTATTATATAAATAATTAAAGTATTAAAGTAGTAAAGTATAAAGTATTTATCATATAAATAATTAAAGTATTAAAGTATTAAAGTATAAAGTATAAATAATTAAAGTATTAAAGTATTTAACTATAATGAAATTCCACTATTAAATACTTTCGCTTTAATTACTTCAGGATTTTGTTATTACCTTAAGTCATCTACATTTAATTAAGAGTAACTTTTACAAAAGAGTGACAATATTATTATTCACAATTATCAAAGGTTACATTTTTCCCTAATTCAAATGATTGAGTATGATAATTCATATTTTTTGTCTTCACGATAGAATTTATACATCAATATTTTTTTTCCTTTTATCTTTTATACAGAATTTCATGGAATCGATGTATTAATTGGTAACAGTAATGCTAACAGTTTCATTAATTCGAATATATGAAATACACTCTTCATTGATTCGTGTTGTTGTTGGTCGTGTTGAAGCGGATGGAAAAAGCAATCGCGAACGCACACACGCGAGCAGATACGCAATACCAAGGAGAAAGTGCCCCCGTCTAACAACAATGAGCGGCGTCGTTCAGGC